TTATGCCGTAACACACATAAAAAAAAAAATAAAAAAAAAAACATACGGTCGAATTGAATACCTCCTTCTTTTGGGAAGTCGGTCAAAAATAAGCTTTCGGCGATTTTTTAAAGATTACGCGAACTTTAGTATTAAAGTATTATGAGACAGTATTATTAGTTTGGATATGATTTTTATGAAATAATATCTGTCAAAGGATGAATTAAATATTGATATGACATTTACTATCTTGTTTTCTGTTTCACATCACCAGCTCACTATACGTCCCCACCGAGGGGCTCGGAGCCTACCCTAATATGGGGTGACTAGGCCTTAGTCAACCACGCTGGCCAAGTGCGGGTTGGTTGACTTCACACATATCTTTGAATTTCTTCGCCGATATGTGCAGGTTGCATCACGATGTTTTCCTTCACCGTAAGAACGTCGGGTAAATTATGTACATATGAAAATTCGAAAAATCGAAAATCACATTGGTACATGGCGGGATTCGAACCCAAGACCTGTAGATTACAAGTCAAGTGTTCAAACCACTGAGCCACCGACGCTCTGTTTACCTGCTTTATATTATTTTTTACTTGATCTCTAAAAACCCCTTCTTATAACGGATGACATTTCCTTGTAATTCTTTTTAATAAATAAAATATGGAATTCTTATTTTCATGTTAGTTATAACAAGGGAAAGGATAGATATAGCAATGGTAGTTTGTCATTTTGCAAACATAAGTGAGATTTTATTAACTCCTACGGTGAAGTTAAGATCTAAAGGACATTGTTGCGGATGTATTAATTCTTTTTATAATGTTATAGATAATAAATTTTATTATTGAATTTGTGTTTTTTATTTACCAGTTCACTAAAAGATGTAGTACTTTTTATTTGTTTGAGAAAAAATTTATACAAATATAAATATTTATTTGTTGTATGAAAACGTTTACGTACTGCGTGCCGACAATTCTTGTCATAACCGAAATGAACTAGGAATAAATAAAAAAATATATGTAACGGTACCAGCAGAACGGACGATAAAAAGGTTGTTAACAGGCAATAAATTTGACACAAATATCGCTCGCACTGGTCCGTCTACTTTCTTCTAAAGTCACTTACTTGTATTCGACGTCCCCGTTGTTATCACCGCCGCGAAAACTAGTAAAGCTTGAAACCTCTTCATTTTTAATATAACACTGGTCTTAAAAATATTTAGACCTTTTACGAAAAAAAAATAAAAAGTTAAACCATAGACAGGTTTTTTTTTTAAGTCTGCCACACGTGCGACTCTTACAGCCACGGCGGGAGCAATGGTGACGGTTTGCAGGCTCTGCAGACTTTCCAACGGGCGGGATGCGACAACGAAGCCTGTTTTTGATTGTTTTTATTTTATTGTAGTTATATGATATTTTGTTTGTAGCTTGCGTTTTTGCGTTGGACAATGAAAACAAACGCAACTTGGCGAATTAAACCACTATCAAAGTTGAGAATAATTAATATGTTTAAACATAAATATTAATGATTAAAATATAACAAACATTTGTAACAAAACAATAAGTAGAAATTAAACTATTACAAAACATTGGACTGAATGGCAATGTCAAGTCGCAAGGTGCAGTTACAATCGTGTCCCTTCTTTGGGTTCGAATCTCGATTAAACCGTTACCTACCGGTTTTTATACTGACAACCGTTTTATATGTTTCTTTTTAATCGCTTTATGGTCACCAATATGATCTGCTATTGAAATATATGTTCTTCTATGTAAGTAGTACCACAGTTTAGATGTTAGAAATATGGGGATGTAAAGATATTTAAACATGTCTTGATGTTTAATTATGTATTTACAATCAATTAAAACATTAATAAATTTTATATAATAACTATAAAATTAGCTACAGCTTTTTAAAATGTATTCAAATTTGTGGATTAAAAATTAAAAAAATCGTCTTTATCGTAAGGTTCGTCTTGAGCTTCTGCAACTCGCAGCGCCGACAATTTGAACCCTTTCTCTTGCATATCATCGATCTTAGGTAATTCTTGTTTTATCATTTCTTCTACATTAACTTTGTTTAGTTCTTGCTGAAGTCTTTCTTTGAGAGGACCCTCTATAGCATCCATTATTTGATACCTTAGTAAATTTGGAAGCACGTTGACGGCCAACTCGATTATGTAATCTAATGTTCCCGCACCGTCGAAACGAACTTGAATGTTACCTACTTCGAGATCTAAATCTCTGAATTGAGGTTGTTTCCTTGTGTCCAGCGGCTGAGCTAGTACTATTCTGCCACTTATGTATTCAACTGAGAAAGAGGCCGTGCCCGCTCTTGACAACAGACCGCTGATAGCTGATATCTCCCATTGCGTAAGGCCTTGCAACTTTTGTGTTCCAATTTCAAAGTCAGCTATGACCGTGTTGTTCTCTAACTTTAAGGTAATGTTGCCCACTCGTTGAAAAGAAGATATACCCATAATCCAAGTATGATTTAAGTTGATCGTAAACACGCTGGCTGTTGTGTTGTAATCCTTAACTTTATAAGGATCGAGTTCCATTTGTC